CCACAGAACACCCGATATGATATTCATCTTCATCTAACAAAACACTGCAGCCTCTTTGCTAGTATATCGGTTAGTACACGCGCCTGTCATTTCTGCAGATTTGCAAGGTGCGCGCGAAAGCTGGGTTCGACTCCCAGGCAAAGAGATGTAATCCCAAAAGTTTGCTATCATTTTGCATCAGTCGATGAGCCTGGGCTGTGTCGGACGTAGGCCATTTAGTACTATCGTTATTTCGTTCCCTCATTCCTTCGTACTCGCCAACCACCTTGCATCCCAGCGCGGTGCACGTCCGCCCGCTCCTCGAACCATTTCCTCTCACTTCCAACGGCGCCGGCGTCAACGTGTCCTAGTACGAATTAGCGCCGACTCAGACGCTCGCTCTTTAGATCCACGTTACGGCATAGCGCCCAAGATGCTCCCGTGTCTCAGTACTCAGGCCCAGGACAGTCTCAGATCGATCCTGCGATCTCGCGATCTGAGGCTGCGCCGTAACTAGATTCAAACAAACTGAATAGGACGCCACTCTAGCTTGTCTCTCACTTTATGCTTTCATATGATGAACACCTCGCATCACACGTTCGGTCCACACTGCACATGCCAAGGCACCCAGGCCTGATATGTTTACATGTCTTTGCTAGTATATCGGTTAGTACACGCGCCTGTCATCCGGAACCATAGATCCTGTGTGGTCGCGCGAAAGCTGGGTTCGACTCCCAGGCAAAGAGCTTATTACCTGATTTGGCATTTTTTCGTTCCTAGATATAGCAACGCAAGCATCTCAATACTATGGAATTGCTTCGCTTCATGCTCTGCCAGTGCCACTTCAACAAGTTCGAGGTCAACCTCACGTCTACGATTGCAACTACACCCAAGCTACACGTCCCATGGTAGCAATGACGCGCTATGATCAACGTCTTTGCTCGTATATCGGTTAGTACACGCGCCTGTCATTCATTGTGTCGAATTATCGTTCATGTACGTGCGAAAGCTGGGTTCGACTCCCAGGCAAAGAGCTGCATCTGCCTGCCGTGCGTTTTTTGTCATTGTTGGATACATTAGTAGGCTACACTAACGCCTATAGTACGGACCGGTGCCCCCGACCTTTCTCAAACTCGTGGCACAGGGCAGGACCCGGCGGGCAGAACAAAACAACGTGGATCATGCTTACAGTAGTAGGAATCATGACTCTCAGGGTGGCAGGGTACGACCTGGGACCAGCAACATCTTTGCTCGTATATCGGTTAGTACACGCGCCTGTCATTGCCATGTTCCAGTATGTCCGGTCGCGCGAAAGCTGGGTTCGACTCCCAGGCAAAGAGCTGATCTGGGGCCTTGTGCTGATATAGATCTTTTCTTTTCGCTGTTGGTACTTCTACTACATACGCGGCCTGTGGACCCGTGGCCGGGCCCGCGTCTGTACTACTCTTGCTTCGACGCTCGCTCTACCCTCAGTACAGGTGTAACGTAGGGGCAGAGTTCACGCTCGTACCACTGGTTCACGCACTGGCATCATGAAAAGAACGACGTCTCATGATCAGACGCGTGTACTGTAGTGTCGTCTTTGCTAGTATATCGGTCAGTACACGCGCCTGTCATCTCGCCTTTAGAATCTCATCGTGATCCGCTCGAAAGGTGGGTTCGACAACTTTTTCACCATTGGGTAGTATACTAATAGAGATACGTACTACGCCTAGGTGCGCCGGCCCATTCTATGTATCCCTTTGCTTCGAAGTCCGAGTCGCAACTCTCGCTCTACCCCTGCCGGTTCGCACAAGCTCGCACCAGTTTACGCATCATGGCCAGACTCGAGAAACGCGTAGTGTCGTCTTTGCTAGTATATCGGTTAGTACACGCGCCTGTCATTGGAGAGAATTTCAACTTTCACCCTTGACCGCGCGAAAGCTGGGTTCGACTCCCAGGCAAAGAGTCTGTACTTTCCTTGAATATGAGGTTTTTGACCCGCGGTACTTTCGAATTATGTATGCATGGCCCATGTTGGCCATGTACGTTAAGCGCCCGTCGACGCCACTGGCGCCTGCGCAGTTACCATGATAGGTACTGACTACAGTACTCAGTGCTAAATGCTTCCGTCTGTGTCAGATCGATCTGCGATCACAAGCGTCTCACTCATCTATCCCGGACTAACAACACGCACTTTCCAGACAAAGAGCTCGTGTCCCAGTCCAGCTGGACGAGTTTTATCGAAAGGTTACTCAACACCTTTCCAAGTTGTTTGATCTTCAACGTGTCTTTGCTAGTATATCGGTTAGTACACGCGCCTGTCATCTGTAGGAAGATAATCGTAACGCGCGAAAGCTGGGTTCGACTCCCAGGCAAAGAGATTGCATATTGTTCGTCATTTTCTTTTTCTTGCTATCGGTTCTTACGTGGTCACTAGCGCCAGCGCAGTTACCTTGATAGGTCAGAGAGTGCTAGATGCCCGATTCAGATCGATCTTCGATCAATCTTGTTTCACCATGTGTCTCGTCTTTATAATGTACGTTGTGTGCAAAGTAGTGGGTTCGATGATATTTAGGATGTACCGTTATAAACAAATATGCTCAAGAATAAAAGGAATTGCTACACTTAGAATCGTACAGCTGAGGGTGGATAATACACATCTGCTAACCCAGGCTCCTCCACCTCTATTGGTCCTTGATCAAGGTCATCCGCGGGAAACGATTGGCGAGTACTGTCCGCAATGCTTGTCCTCAAGCGCTTTTCATCGTGATTGAACCACACCTGGCGAGGAATCCAGGGCACAGATATGTTCCCCAATGCTACGAAAGGGGTATATGTGCTTTCGTGCGCTCGAGAGCCGAACAGCCACTTCAATTCACGGATAGAGACCTCTTCCAGCACTAGGGTCTTCAAGGACGGAAGCAATGGGCGCTGGGGTACTAGAACATCGTCCCGTACATTGGCGTTCAGTGCTGCCAGGGTGGCATCGTCAGGTCCACGAAGCACGAGTTGTTTTAAACTCGAGAGCTCAGCAAAGAAATCGGGAACCAGGCTACAGTGCACACAGATGTCGTCCTCATCCCTAGTAAACTGCGGCACCGAGGGGCAGAAGGCAATATGGCGGAGCTCGAGTCTAATCAGCTGACGTAGGGGAAGATGACGGCGAATGCGAGTGACGAGTTGGACGATTTTGTCAGTCCACCACGAAGGATCGTGATTCTTCATTTCCCAATTGCAATCGCTCAACGCGAGTTCTTTGAGTTGAGGGGCATCGAGGAGGCGAATGAAGGCAACGAGATCGTGGGCAAAGATGAATCCGAGGGACAGGCTGTTCAGATTCGGAAGAAAAATATCCGGACTCAAAAATGGTAGATGGAAGGATGTAGCGGCCAGCAAAACAAGGTTTTTGAGGGAAAGAAAATTGGCATCAATAATCTGTCGAAGAAGGCTGGGAGAAGTGTAGGGATTTCGGGGTGGCATACTGATTTCGAGCGAAGTTAGGTCAGTGGCCTGAAAAAGCTTCCAGGGGATTTTAACGGCGCGCAATACAACACAGCGCACGTTCGGGTGGAGTTTCTTTCCCAGGTATGCCTGCAGATCTTCTCTAAAGCTAGGTTGAGTTTCGTGGTACACGTTTCGTACTTCCCAGTGTGTCAACAACGGCATCGATTTGTTCAGAAGCAAGCTGGTGGGCATAAAGGGAGAGGTCGCTTCGTTAGCACTGAGCCTGAAGTGTTTGATTCTATGGGCATGGTGGGCCACCGCCGCCATCATGTCAATTACAGGAAGATAGACGTCGTCCATTGTCTCCGAGTCGGGGTATACGGCGTCGACTGCGAACGCCTCGGTATTCGGTGCACGGAAAGTGAAGTCGATCGTAAGAGGGTAAGAGCTGGACAAACGAAGAAACTTTGCAACGTGAACCCTCTGTCGCTCCGTCGTGTCCAGGTTATGCCAGTCCCGTGTCCTGACAACTTTGATCGTTCGCCACATTAACGGCTGCGCCTCTGCCAGCGCGCGAAATCGG